TCAATAGCCCACAACCTTATGAGCATCTGATGATAGTATTCTTTGACATTCTGCTCATTGATGAGAATGCTTGTTTGAGACTTCCACATCGGGAGCGGAGATTACTTCTGAAAGACACTATAGAGCCAATCCCAGGGCGTGCAGATATATCTGAGCAGTGGGTAGTTGACTTTTCCCATCATGACGGTCAATCTCGACTAGAAAGCATCTTCCACAAGGGCATCACTGAGCGATGGGAAGGCTTTGTCCTCAAAGCATGTGAAGACCCTTACTTCACAATCTTTGCTGATAATGAGGAAAATCCCTCCTTCGGTCGCTGGATCAAGCTAAAGAAAGATTATATACCTGGACTAGGTGACACTGTCGATCTCGCAATCATTGGCGCGAGGTACAACTCTCGGGATGCTATGGCAATCAAGCAAGTAAAAAAGCTCTCATGGACTGAATTCTTCATTGGTTGCCTCGTCAATAAAGAGATGGTTGTGCAATCTGGGGCCATACCCAAGTTTCGTGTCCTCGATGTTATCAACCACCACTGCATGCATGTCAGGTTCATGCAGTTCTTGAATCAGTTCGGCGAGTTCTGCGCCCGCAGTCCAGACTCCGAACATGGATTCATCCTTGAATATGGGGAGAGTGTAGTCAACCCCATGGAAGTCGTCTTCAAGACCCCCTTTGTCGTTGAGATGTTAGGCAGTGGCTTTGAAAAGCCGTCTGGCGCCAGATACTATACACTGCGTTTCCCTAGGATCTTGAAGGTCCTTTCTGATCGATCATTTGAGGATGCTGCGTCATACAGAGAGTTGCAGCTATTAGCAGAAACCGCTCGATCTGCCCTTGATGAGGATCCAGAAAATCACGAGTATCAAGCCGCCAAACGGATGAAGCTACGAGATCGCTCGGAGTGTACGCCAGATCGATCACAAAGTCTCCAAACAACACAGAGCCCTTTTCTCCAGTCTTCGACAACTGCCGAAGATGACTCAGGTAATGGGGCGCTCGTGTCTTTCCCGAATAAGGAATTGAACACCCCAGACGCGTTGCCTGGTCCAGCGAGACACACCAAGCGACGCCGCGAAAGCAGCGCTATGCAACGTACCATCCCCATCCATGTGGATCTCAATAGAGACACCTCCCCACCTACAGCACACAGTGTAGGCGGCAATTATCTGACGAACAATGAAAACCTATCTTCTCATGCAACCGGACAGAGGAAGAACTCAACTCAGACGACTAAGTCCTCTGATGCAGAGAAAGCCTCCCGCCCCAGTCAAATGCCTGGTTCTTCGAGTAGCTTAGACAAGTTGCAAAAGCACCCTGCACCCCTTAATAAACTAATAGACCGCCAAATTGAGTCCAATGTGATGCTGGAATCTTGCAGCAACCGCCCATCTGGCAATGAAATCATGGCTCCTCACCTCTGCCAGAAAGCAACTCAGCGCATTCTATCACCACTGCTCCACAGTCTCATATACGTTCACCATGACATATCCTCCGATGACATGGTAGTGTCTCAACCCATACCAAACCCTTGGAAAATAGCACCAACCCTCAATGAGTTCGTCCGAAAATTAACACGCCCAGATACACAATGCCACCCCAGGACATCCAACCATCACGCAGTCCCGCATGGCACAGTCTACGGATTGGTCATTATACCTGGAAAGAGCGATGCGCTGTGTACAGTTCTCCCCGATCTAATAAGAAGCATAGCAAATGCTTTCCAGTCTTATTACTTCAACATTCATCATCCCGGGAAAGTCTTCGTTCTCGACTCAAGCTTTCTCAGACTCAAGATCAGCCAGGATGATACGAGACTCTGCCTTCATCGGACGTGGGAAGACATTAATAGGGTGTTCTTCTATGCTTGCGTCACCTGGACGTTTAAGGGACCTTCAGGTCACAACACACTTGAAGACCAAGCTAGAGAATGCGATGCGCTTTACGCAAGGCCTAATATCACGATTAGCTTCGATAGACGTGAGTTGGGTCTTCTGGGAGAAAATCTGTCCCACTGAGCCTTTGACACATGTGACACAGAGTACAGGTACTATTTGAGATACAGTAGCTTTCCCCTGTTGCCGGAATCTGTGTATAGCTTTATTACAAGTCATAATTAAATATACGAACACCCACTTTAAAGGAAAATCTTCTTTGAAATCACATTCCATCATGACTCTCTCCCAAACGCCTCGCTAGTAATAGTCCCGAGGAAATGCAGGAAGATCGTAAGAGACAGAGTACAAAACCCCAACGAAGACAACGGATCACTCATCCCCCTCTCTCCGCGCGCGAACATCCCTCATCAAGGCCTTCGCCTCCTCAACCTCAACCCCATCCTGACACAACTCACCCGCCAACTGATCCGCACGCTCAAGGTCCCCATTTCGCAAAGACCACCTTGCAAGCCATAATCTAGCCTTGGAAGTCGTAGCCGTAACGCCCGTACCATGCCAAGTATCATCCTCATCCTCATTCTGCTGCGTGGAAGATTTTCGCGTCCGTCTAGAGCTAGACTGTCCCTCCGTGCTAGATTGGTTATCATCATCGTCATTATCAGACGAAGCGTCTTCTTCTTCCTGGATCACTTGGCCTGATTCTTGCTGTAGCGTAAGTTCCATGTATGAAGCCGCTTCTTCGTCATCTCCAAGACGTTCGTACAGCGTGGCGATCTGGTGGAGGGTTTCGGGATCGAGGATCTTCCGCTCTGGTCCCCCTCCTGCTCCGACTTGGGAGGAGTCATCGGCGTAGTAGGAGCCAGCGACGAGAGCTCGTTTGAGTGCTTTAATGCTTTGTTCGATGCGGCCCATTTTGGCGTAGCAGGATCCTACGGCTTGCCACATTTTGGGGTCGTAGGGGCGGAGTGCTGCGGCTCGTTGGTAGTAGAAGAGGGCATAGAAGGACATGTCGAGGACTTCGTAGGCTTGGCCGAGACCATACCAAGCGCGGTAGTCTTTGCGGTTAACGTCGACGGCGCGGCGGTATGATTCGATTGCGGCGTGGGTGTTTTTCATTTCGATGTATTCGTGGCCCATGAGTGTCCAGGCCGAGAGGAAGTTTCGGTCCAGGGTTAGTGCACGGCGGAAATACATGACGGCTTTTTCGTGCTCGGATTTGAGCGAGTAGTAGTTTCCCACTACGCAGCATGTTTCGGGGCGGAACTTGTCTGTGGCGGTTGCGATTTGCGCGACGAATGCGAGCTGGGGGCGCGCGCCCATCACGTATAGGATGTTGGAGTAGTGATCGAGACTGTCAAGACGGTGGGGTGATGATACGAGGATGTCGGTGAAGATACTGGAGGCTTCTTCGAAATCTATAGGAAGTCAGCTGGGCTATGCAGTGTGTTTGTAGTGCAGCCGTACCCTTTGAGTGGTAGTATAAAAGAGCTCTTTGGGTCTTGAGGAAAGCACTCGTGGGGAAGATTGTTTCCAGCTCGGATAGTGACTGGTAGGTATCTTCGGTGGCCTGATACAGCTCCTGGCTGCAGTATACGCGGAATATGAGGGTCATGATGTTCAAGGGTAGAAGATTGACCACTTGGTTCAACTGTGGTAGCGGTCAGCGACGTGTAACAACAAGAATATACAGCGCGACATACGTCTTCTGTGCTTGCCAGCAAGTCATTAAGCTCTTGCCATGCACCCCAATGAAAGGGGTTCAGATGAACACTCCGGATAAGCCACTTCTTGGCCTCGTCCTCATTTCGCCCCTTGAGAAGTATGACACCATACAGATACTCCAACCATCCCTGGCTGCGCTCTTCCATTCCCTTATCTTGACGCTCCGTAAACCATCCCTCTAGTCCTCGCGCCAAATCTGGTAGTTCTTTGTTGACAGTCGAGCCTCCGTCTGCTGGTCCCAATACCATTTCGGTCTCTTCATCCTTGCGCTTCTCGCCCGCTAGATATTTGGCGTACAATGCGAGGAACAGCGATTTCTGGCTCAGCTTGGGGTATGGATTCCTGGTCACACTATTATCTTTCACACCACCATATGCTGAGGCCTTCGATTTCCCTTTCTGCGGAGTTAACGACTGCCTAGACTTCGGATTCGGCGGCGTTGAGGTAAGAGGAACGGGGGAGATGGTCGGAGGAAGGAAGACGGAGGCGCAACGGTCATATTCGCGGGTGTCAAAGTAAGATTTCGCAAGGAGGTACTTGTATGACTCTTGCGCTTCGAGGGCGGCTTCGAGCGGATCTTGTGTTCGGAGATAAGGGTTCTGGGCATTCGAAGGAGCCTCGGGGTAGTCCATTGGCGAGTCCGGATCGGTGTCGTACTGTTCAATTGGTACGATTGAGTCTAGCATTTCAGCTGCCCTGACCTACAAGGTTAGCCACTGCGCATGGAGGTGAGCCAGGGTGATGCCGGTAACGGTACCATTTGGCTGACTGGTATAAACAACGTTCGGAGCATTTAATCGCCGCATCTTCAAGCCGGAACCTAAGCTCCTTGATGTTCTCGTCTGTAAATGGAACGGCCATGGTAGCGACGGTATTTGCGCGCGTTAAGGCGCACGCGTATAGCAAAGAAAGGCTGCGGAGCTCTGATGAGTTGACTGTATGTAGCTATAGTTAGTGACGCGCCAGGAGCATTGCTGCTTGGTGGATCTTGCGCGCTCCAGGGACGGTGGAGACAAGTGATGTCAAAAGAGTCTGAGACAATGGAGCCAATTAATTAAAGCGCATAAGAAGCGCCAAGCGTGCAGGCAGAAAACAATGTCAAAAAGAGGCAGGAGACGCGGCGAAGAGTATCGCATCGCCAAAAGATTCCGGGGAATCTCGAATGGCCTTCCTTTTTGGGCGCCGACGGGGCAAACAGAACAAACAGCGGGGTTTTCCCAATTGGGCTGGCCGGCCACTAACTGGACGAATTGGGACGATCACCACCATTTGGATCCCCTCCTCGTGTGTTGCCCATTGTTCTTCTCCATTCTTCTTTTTCTTCTTCTTCTTCTTCTTCTTCTTCTTCTTCTTCTTGCTGCTTCTCCCTCTCCCCCTTCACTCTCTTCCTCCTCCCATTTCCCCTCCTTAGTACTGTCGTGCAATCATGTCCACCACTGCCCGCGCCGACTTCGAGGCCGTCTTCCCCTCTTTGCGGGAAGACCTTCTGAACTATGCGAAGCAGTACAAGCTGCCCCAGAACGCTCTCGAGTGGTTCGAGAAGGTACGTGCCGACCTCCCTTAGTCTTCGCCCCCAAAGTCTATCTCTAATTTCTTATTTCTCTACACTAGGCCCTCAACGTCAACGTCCCCGGTGGAAAGCTCAACCGTGGTCTCTCCGTCCCCGACACCGGTCTCGCTCTCCTGAAGAAGCCCCTGACCGATGAGCAATTCAAGCACCTCAGTCTGCTGGGCTGGCTCACTGAGCTGCTCCAGGCTTTCTTCCTGGTCAGCGACGACATCATGGACGGCTCCATCACCCGTCGTGGCCAGCCCTGCTGGTACAAGCACGAGGGAGTCGGTCTGATCGCCATCAACGACGCCTTCCTGCTCGAGTCCGGCATCTACATCATCCTGAAGAAGTACTTCCGCTCCCACCCCGCCTACATCGATCTCGTCGAGCTCTTCCACGAGACCACCTACCAGACCGAGCTGGGTCAGCTGTGTGACCTCATCACCGCCCCCGAGGACAACGTCAACCTCGACAACTTCTCCATGGAGAAGTACATGTTCATCGTCACCTACAAGACCGCCTACTACAGCTTCTACCTCCCCGTCGCTCTGGCCCTGCACTACCTCCAGCTCGCTACCCCCGAGAACCTGCGTCAGGCCCACGACATCCTAATCCCCCTGGGTCAGTACTTCCAGGTCCAGGATGACTACCTCGATGCCTACGGTGACCCCGCCTTCATCGGCAAGATCGGTACCGATATCCAGGATAACAAGTGCTCGTGGTTGGTCAACCAGGCTCTGCAGCGTTGCAACGCCGAGCAGCGCAAGGTCCTCGATACGGCTTACGGTCGTAAGGACGCCGAGCTGGAGGCCAAGGTCAAGGCCCTGTACAAGGAGCTCGATCTGGAGAAGATCTACAAGGAATATGAGGAGAGTGTTGTGGGTGAAATCCGCACTAAGATCAACAGCATCAACGAGTCGGAGGGTCTGAAGAAGGAGGTCTTCGAGGCCTTCCTGGCGAAGATCTACAAGCGCACTAAATAAGCAGAGACTTTCGGCGAATTTTCTTCGGAGGAATGATATACCCGCCTACCCTTTTCCGCCGCGTCTACATAATCCTACATAATAATTTCCCCGTACATTGTGCCCTACATACCCCCATCGAGATAGATTAGCTGAACTTGAGACGTACATTGCATACACAGCTGTCCACTACTCATTAACGATTTGTTGACCGTACAGTAGTCACATTCTCGTCCTACAGCATCTGCCCAAATCCCTCAGCACGAACATTCCATTGGGCCGGAAACCCCGGTGCAAAGTCCTGCTGGCTGCTGTTAGTTGCAGCATCCCAACCTCCAGCCATCATCGCAACAGCCAACAAGAGGGCCGAACTTCCAGGAAAGTAAGGGGTTGGTGCCTTGGTCCCCACCGGCATACCCACGTCGTCAAATTGAAAATTCGAATGCACCAGATACTGCACCGCGCCGTCAACGTCTCCCAGCCGTGCCGCGTTCATCGCCAGCATGGGGAAGTCCCAGCCCCAGCAGGTCGTGAAGTTCCAATCACTGGCGACTTGGGCTGCGGTGGCCGATACGAGTGTTTGGTTGATCGCTGTGGTTGGGGGTAGGAGACCGTAGATGCCAGTGAGTGCCGGGTGGTCGGTTACGGTATCAGGGTCTGTCCACATATGTGGGATGCCTTCGTAGAGTGTGTATGTGAGCACTTGGTCGCCCGTTGTTTCATCAACAGTATAGACGGTTGGTAGTGGTGCAAGGTTGTCTTTGACGTGTTTCCATTCCTGCGGAGCTTGCTGGCCACGTCGGGCTTTCCAGGATATGGCTACATCGAGACCGAAGTGCCAGTATGCCAACTCGAAGGTGGGGTTTCGGGTGCTGTTGGGGGGTGTATTCTCTGAGACGGGGTACATTGGAGGGCCGAGATCATATACGCTTGTTGAGGTGTTCCAGAAGGCATAAGATGCCATGAAGTCTGCCGACTCTGTCAGTACGTGGTCCCATTTCGCTAGGACATCTTCCGTGTTTCTTCCAGCATGTCGGGCAGACTGATACTCCGTCTCTGCGAAGTAAAAGACATGGGGTTGCTGCCATATGAGCAGGGCGTTGATCTCGCCCGGCGCAGATTTCCCGCTTGGGTCGCTCATCTTGCCCCATCTCAAGCCGCTATATCCCTGGTCAGCTGCCCTTTGCATCGACGAGGGAAGGAACCGATTGTAGACATCGATGCTTCGCTCCAGTAAAGGGAGTTTGCCCCAGGGAGTCCAGTGGGCGGAATGCCATAGATACATCTCCATATGGAACTTGCCATACCACCCATTATTTACCAGACCCGATTCTTGCGGTGGATCATGTCCGGCCTCGTTGACTGCTAGCAGGTATTGGGACAGAATCACGCGTCGTTGGATTTCATCTGCTGTTGCATTCGCAGTTTCCGTCAGATCTACGAAGGCGCCCGTTTCCCAGTAGGTTGTCCACCATTGCTGACATCGTGCAATAATGGCATCAAAAGATAGCGAAGAGGACAGGAAATCATCATTTGGAGAAAATGTTGTTGTGAATTCAAACGCTCTCGTATGGTTGCCGTTCGGCTGCACGACATATCGATGAGAATGGGGAACTCTGGAAACAGACACATTACTACCACTCCACTGCAATGTGGTGTAGTAGGTGGTGTTGTCGAGGGTGTGCTGCACCTGGGCCTGGTTACCATTCCCTGCATAGTGCAGTACCGTTGTATGATTTGAGACAGCGTTCCAATCCCCAACAAACGGGGCTTCGAACTTATTCTCGTCTGTAGCATACGGATAGTCAAAGAAGACTCCCAAAAGGCCTAGCAATAACAGTTCGGATTGCAAGCGCACTGCTATCGTGTCCGAGCTGGGGTCGACGCTGGTGGTAATGGTGGTCAGATGGCCATCGACAGTAAAATTAGACTGCAGAATACCCTGGTAAACATCAAGTTTTTGCGACTTATTCTGCAGGTCTTCTTCAGTGTAATTGCTGTAATCTCCGCCGAAAACCAATCCGATGCGACCTAGGTTGATACGATGTGGATTGGCAATCAACCACTGGGAAATCTCTGGTTCTGCAGGGTTGGGCATATCATAATTCACTAGCCGGTCATGCGTCCACCAGTCCAATCCCGTGAAATCTGATGGTGTGGAGTTCGCAGGCAGTGACGAATTGTGCCATCCCCAGGAAGAAAGAATACCGTATGGCAGAAAGGTCTGTAGCCCTGTAATATCGGCTCCAAATGCAAAACCCCCATTTCCCACCTGCATTGGGGTGCTTGTCGAGCTGGCATTGCGGCGAGGATTGAACCTGGATACTACTTGTGCCCGGTCAATGGAGGGTGGATGTGGAGACTTCGGGGATATCCTAGCCTCGCCGACGTTGGAGAAGAGATAAGGAACTAGGCTGAGACTCGTCAAGGCTAGTGAAGGCCGCATGATGACGATGCGGTGCTAGTCTGCGTAGCGGAAATGTCATCTTCCAGCATTTTTCCGAGTCGACTTTCATGGTAACCTCGACTTGCCTCTTATAAACCTCGCACACCCCTCACAACTTCAATCGTGAAGCCAGAGGGGTTACAGCTATTTCACAGAGGGCATTCCACGAATCAAATCAGGCAGCGAACATCAAACCCAGCAATGAGATGCCACGATCTTGAGAACACTGGTGTCCGTGCCGATCTCCGCACCACATCTCGGGCCAAACGTTGCCGAAGGGATCGGCTCTGCAGTTCTTGCTAGACAGAATATACTCGGAGTTAGAAATGATATGACGTGAGCATTCTTGAGATTGTCGTGCTGGGAGTTTCGATAGTGTAATTATAAGAAGAGAAGACCAGCAATGTAGAGAGATAGACACTTTGGATGAATGAAAGGTAAAGATCCATCCACGTGGGTAGCACCTGACCTGTACCTGCCGTTTCTTCCACTACATCTTCAACTCGCCCTCGACTATCCTTGCTACCACTTCATTACATGGACTGCTGTGGATTTTAGCAGATTCTGGTCAAGAGCATGACCTCCTTGTCCCGGTCAAGTTCCGATATACTGTTACCCATACCTTCCTGGGGCAGGACTTGATACCCCTCAGCAGAAAACCACTCTAATTCAATTTAGCCAGGGAGCTGTGGCGCCGAGTGGAGTCGGACTCGTCCAAACTACCAGTGCAGGGCCTCCAATAGGCACTGGTGATTGGAGATTATTATTATCGAGCAGGGCCAACCGGTTACGTCGGACAGAGTGGGACGTTGCCCATCCAGTTGTGCTTGGTTGATGAATCCCAGCTAAAAGGCTTAATCAAAGAGACTCGAATCATGCCAGAGCTAACCCATTCGTTGCCCTTATCCCATCGGAATTCCGTGTCCTCTATACAGGGGTTGAACGATAAAGAGCAGATACCAGCCATTGAGGGGATCCGAGCCCAAGTAATGGCCGGCAGAGCAGTTCTTGTTCAATCCATTCTTTGCTGTGGGACATTCGCGCCTGACCCAAGGAAAATATCACCGGGACCTCCTCACCATACCCAGCAGCATCCACTTCCTCGTTAGATCAATCAATTTACACTTGCTCTGGCCATTACAATCTTGGCTTAAAGGAGCATCTCGTCATTTAGCCTGCCATCGTCAGGATAGTCTGCTGCTGCCGGCTTTGGAGCAAGCCACTACCGATGGGCACGGTGGATCTCCCGCGCCCCCATCGAGGTCTTGAAAATCGTGCCAGTTCCCCTACCTGTCCTCCCCTATAATCATCATGCCCTTCTTCTCCTGACTCTCATTCAAGTCTTGTATTCGCCGTTGAGGCACTATTTTGATTAACATCGCTACCTTTGTACAACTCAGCACATGTCTCCTGAGCGCTCGACGTATTTGCCCCTTGCGCCATGATGCCGGGCACTCTAACCGTCGCGCTAGCGGCCTTTCTGTTCCTGGCCTCTGCCTTGGCAGATGTAGGACCCTATTTCGATTCTGAATTGTACGAACAGGGTAGAATGGGACCATGGCCCATTGAGACTTACCGTTCGACTTCCACCGTAGGCGCAGCTGTCAACTTTCTGCAGTATGGGCCACAATGCAGAGATGACAAGTATTACTTCATCTCTCCGCGCGGGTATAGCGTGCATAAACCCGGGCCGATGATACTAGACCACAAGGGTCGCTTGATCTGGACGAAGCCCTACGGCCACACCTACAACTTCAATGTCTACAACTATAAGGGCCAGGATTATTTGACGTTCTGGGTGGGCGACGACGGTAAGGTGGGACACGGCGAGGGCACATACTACATGGTACGGCACCTCCTTTACCCGCATAGTAATGGAGCAAAGCAATACTAAACTCTCCAATAAAGCTAGACTCGTCGTACCAGGAAGCCTTCACCCTCAGTGGTGCCAATGGACTTGCAGCAGATCTTCACGAGTTCCACATAACCCTCGACGAGACTGCAGTTTACACCATCTATGACATCCGCCCGGCAGATCTCCGGGTCGCTGGCGGTCCTGAGAATGGCTGGATCTGGGATGGCACGTTCCAAGAAGTTAACATTGAGACGAACGAACTCCTCTTCGAATGGCGAGCCTCCGAACACTTCGACTTCGCCGACGTCTATCGAGGTCGCGAAGGCTCAGGGGAGGACAAGGAACGCCCGTGGGACTACTTTCACATCAACAGCATCGACAAAGACGCAAAGGGCAATTTCCTTGTCTCGGCCCGCTACTGCAACTGCCTGATCTATATCGACGGTCGCACAGGCGAAACTATCTGGACTCTAGGCGGCAAGCGAAGCAATTTCACCGATCTTTCAGGCGGCGCAGCTACCAATTTCACCTGGCAACACCACGCCCGCTTCCGGGACAACGGCACAGCAATCACCCTCCTTGACAATTCATCTCGTGGCAGAGGCGCCCCCCAATACCCCAGTAGAGGCCTCTACCTCGACATCGACGAAACCAACATGACCGTGCAAGTCCGACACGAGTACTGGAACGAATACCCGATCAAGAGCCAATCCCAAGGCTCCATCCAAATCCTCGACAATGGCAACGTCCTAGTCGGATACGGCTTCAGCGCCGCATGGACAGAATTCAGCATGGACGGCGAAGTCCTCTGCCACGCCCACTTCGCACCCGGACGAGACTTCAGCAAAGGCAAGGTCGTCTCCTACCGCACCTTTAAACACCCCTGGGTCGGCACGCCCAACACCATCCCAGACTTCGAAGTATACGCCTATCGCGCCGCAGCCAGTTGGAACGGCGCCACCGAAGTCTCACACTGGGTCCTAGAAGGCACCAACGAAAAGATCTCAGAAACAGCACAACCCACCTTCCTATCCGCCGTACCGAAAGACGGCTTCGAGACCGTAATCCCCATCCCGAACGACACAAAATTCAAGTACCTACGCGTCCGCGCCGTCAGCGCAAGAGGCGAGACCCTTGCCGCTAGCAAGTTGGCAAGATGGGACCCTACTTCCAACGAAGCAGTCGTCGTGAGTGGTGATAGCGACGACCCTTTCTTTGGCGACAGTGATAAAATCTATGCCATTTTTATATTCCTCACGATTGCGCTGTTCTCCACAGCAGTGATCGGTGCGTTTCTCTGGTTCGGCGTCAAGAAGGGCTATCTTGTGTCGTGGTTACGGAGCCGTCGACGGGACGATAAAGATAAGGAACGCGGGACCTTTCAGCCTCTGAAGCGCTTTGGTGGAGATGAGGATCTCAGTGATGTAGAGGTGGAGGATAGTGTTGAGTTTTCGGCGTTGTTGGGGGATCAGTTGTTGGGTTCGGGGCCGGATGTGGAGAGGGCGGGGAGTATGGATGTTGTTAGGAGGTGATGATTATATTTTCAATTCTGGTTTTGTACTGCATGTTAGCGAGTAGATCATGTGTACAGCATTTATCTCATCTGGTTTGGGTTTATAGTATCTAGCTTGACTCGTTTTACTTCCACTGAAAGTGGACGTCTACGAAGAAGTTTGATTTTGTGATTCAAAGATCGTATGATAGATTGCAGTCATACTAAAAGAGTGCGTAGGCTAGCACATCCAGCTAGACTCATAAAGACCGTTACATAACTGTCATATCTGCCTCAATGGTGTCAAGCGAGCAAGTTCCTTCTCTGGGCTGACCGAGAATCAATCAAGCCTCAGAAGCAACCTCCAACCGCTTATAACCACCCTCAGCAGCGACCTTCTTCTGCAACTCGGCCATACGCTTCTGATCACCAAGGGGATCAGTGGAATCAGCATCCAGTCCCCAAGACAAGTAGTCATTGGTATAGTTAGCCACGAAGTCGGAACTCAAGATGCCCAACCGCTTTCCATAGTTGGTCACCTTAGCCCAGTCACGACTAACGTTCTTCAAGTCACGGCTGAAGTAGGCAAACGACCGCTCAAAGATCTTCCGGTTAACCGGAGTGCCCATGATCGGCTTCATGTCCACGTACTCCTCGAAAGCGCGGGCGGGTTCAGCCAAAACGTAGTCTGTAGCGCGCTTGACGGCCCGCATGAACTTCTGCACTTTCTCTGGGTTGGCGGCCAGGAAGGCGTCGTTGGCAATGTACAGGATCGAGCAGAAGCAGCAGCATCCAAGCTCGGCGAGCTGGTCGATGCGCAGCATTTGCACGTCGTCACGGGGTCGGCCCTGCTCGGCGAGCCATTCGGCAAGCTCGACCATCTGGACGTTCTCGAGGCCGATGCCTGCGTCGATGTCGCCGCGAATGATGGCTTTGGTTACGTTCATGCCGCACCGGACGGCGGTGTAGTCATCGGCGGTCATGCCGTAGTATTTGGTGAGTTCGTCGATTTGGATCTGTGAGTGGTTTTGGTTAGGATATGGTGGTGGGGTGGACTGGGGAGGGGAGCGAAGACGAACCTTGCCAAACTCGCCGACGTAGCCGATCTTCTTGCCCTTCAGGGAGCGGAAGTCTTCGGTGATTCCGCTGTCCTTGAGGTAGACAACACCAGTGAAGGGCTCGTCGAGGAGAGAGCCGATCGAGGTGACGGGGAAGTTGCGGGCCTTGGCCTGTTGTTTGGTTAGCTACGGATTGTGAAAAAAGGGAAAGACAACTCATACAGCAAGGGTATGAATCATAGCCTTGAAGCCCATGTCAACCTTGCCGCTGCCGATGATCTCGGTGACATCGGAGGGGTCATTGGGCTCGAGGAGAGCAACCTTGAGGCCCTCTTCCTTAAAGTAGCCCTTGCTCTGGGCGAGGTAAAGGGGGGCGTGGTACGGGGTCGCGTGCCTTGAGAGAACGCAACATTTAGCATATATTCTGTGACCTGTTTCAAGCAATCATAATGGAGATCCCAATCCATACCAGTTGGTCAGGAAGGTGATCTTGTCAGTAGACATCTTGGCACAAATACACTCAGGTCGAGGGTAATTGCAAAGGTCTGGAAACTGTCAGCAACAGAGAGGGATGCGAGATCCCTCTCATCTTTCTGTAGGTCAAATAATTAGGGGACAATCAGTGCCACGCATGTCCTTTCGCTAGTATTATCTAGATCAAGTTTTGACAGTATAATCTCAGAACGACCGTGCTTCTACTCCAAACTGGGAGGTAAGGAGCAGAAGCACGAGCCGAACACCTGTCATGCGCGAGCAGTGACTGTTATACTATTGTACGATACCTTGACCCATCTGAACCCATAGCGAAAAGACCCGGAGTCTGATCCTGTGTGCGCAGCCTCATTGTGAGTCGTACCGGACGGTTGGTGAGGAAGTTGTTGGAGAAGGAAGAGGAAGTTATTCAGAAAGAATACAAGTGTAAGTAGATCGTGAGAAGATTGGAGAATGAAGGAAAAAGAAAGTAAGTGAAGGAGGGGAGAAGACGAGGCATAAATGGGAAGCGGCGGGGTCGAGCGAGACCCTGGACTAAACCCCACCACTAACTTAGTTATCCGCGATTCGCGTCGTCTTCCCTCACCGAGAACAACATCCAGGACCCCCACGAAAACGAAAAAGATGTCTCATTGGAGATCCTTTCACCGGAGTGGTGTGCTCCTGACGTTCTTCCGGTTCTCCAGCAGTAACCACCTCATCATGAACCTTGTCGCATCCTTTCCCCCGCTTCGAGACCCGCTTGGAAGCACAACGGACAAGGTTATTATGACTCAACTCTGTATGGTTGGCTGGACTAGTCTCAACAACCGGATGTCTTCGGTCACGACTGGCGGGTCTAGACACTCTTGAGGAAGGATCTGCTTGACTCTGCTTCGGATCGGATGATCAGCCTAGCTGCTTGCGCATCGTCGCTCTCAACGGGACCTATTGTCGGTTACTGCGTCGGCCGGCTGCACACAAATAGAGGTAGCTTGGAGCTTGTGATAATTTTGGGACGTAGGGCTACAACATAATCTTCATCGTGCATTCGACTATCTCAACCTGGACCTACTGCGGTAGATTCCAATCAGAAGATACAAATTCGCTGGCTACAACGTTGATGACATATGCAAATGAGGGATAAAACAATGCAAGAATGGAGAGAATGAGCAATGCGAACGGAAAGGAAAATGGAACAACAAAGTGAAATGCCATGCTGACCAGAGCGACGGGCTAATGCAGCTACCATCGCTTCTGAATGAAGTTCGCTTTGGATGAATAGCAAGGGGGTGACCAAAAGCAGTATTTCACACGCGGGCGATTAGTGAGAGCAAGTAAACTCGAACACGATTATTCCACCAAGAACGGTACCTCGGACATGCAGGTTATACAGAATTCCAGGCTGTCGCGCTGGGCTATCCTGTTAGTTGATCAACTGTCTCCATTGACCGACAGCTGATCGAGCGGCGACGCCGGACGGTCGGCATTCTTCTTCGTGCGTAGGGTGAGCGGAAAATAATGGTCATCTGGCTCCTCTTCCTCGCTAGTACTAGATAGAAAGGTCGTCAGCATCAATGCTCCTTGTGTCATTCATACACCGAGGGGCTGGGGTGATGGACTTACGGCAGTCGCCATGCGACATAGTCCTCCGTACTCAGACCTTCTTTCACCTCCTGCAGGGAGGCAAAGTCCCCGGGAGTCATCATACCAGAACGATCTCTCGGGGAGCCAGGTACGGATAAGGGTCGCGATATCTTCTGCTCCGTGCCACCGATCACATCGTAGACATCATCGGGCGTGCCGAATGACGACGGATAGGCTGCATAACTGTGTGAGCACTCTTACATATAATGGCTTGGACATACACATACCTCTGCGGAGTGCCAACTGCCGAGCCTTGACATACTCCAGACCCATGCGCTTCCAGTCCAAGAGGTCACTCAGACGCTCTGTCCGGTTCCGCTGGTTGATCCGTTGGCGACGACTCTTCTGGGTAAAGTTGAACATAAATTCCGTCAGTTGATTGACCGAGTCATCCACGCCTTTCATCCGACGGTCCACAATATAGATGCCGTAATCGGACGAATTTTCAATCAGTTCCTCCATGTAGCAACCGAACCCAGACAGGTTTGTGGTAATACTCGGGACACCCATCACGGTACACTCAGCCGGCGTATATCCCCAGGGCTCGTAGTACGAGGGGAACACCCCAAGATGGGTACCCCGAACGAAGTCGTCATAGTCCAAGGGTAGCACCGGGTTAGATGAGTTCAGGAACTCCGGGTGGAAGACAACCTTGACCCGGTCAGACTCGTGGTTGAAAAGTTGGACACGACGGATCTGGTTCAGAATGGGATCTTCGTGATCATTGTACATGTTATGCGTGACAATCGGAGGCAGGGAGTGTCGCTTCATGGCGAAGAGTCTGCGGCGCAGTAGCACACGATCTTGGCTAGCCATCAAGTCTTTCTCGTCCGGCATGTTGTCGCCTTCCTTCCACGCTAGACACCGCTCGTACATTCGTCTCCCAATGCCCTTTTCGATCATCTCGATTGTGTCCTTCAGAGACTTCACAACAGCTTGACCCTTGAGCGCTTCGACGGTCAGGGATGACGTCTGAGCAGGCATGATAATAAACGCGACGACAGTCATCTTTGAGCCAGCCTCCTTCAGGCGGTGATTCAAACGCGCCAGGCCTTCAATGAACATATCCACCCCTTTGTTTCGGAACTCATAGCGTCCGGCAGTAAACACGTAGAGGGTATTGTCCAAGTCAAAGTTGTTATGGCCATAGAAATGTCCCCGCACAAAATCATTGATCTTCTCCTTGGACTGCGAATGTAGGTTCTGGAACTCATGGACAGCCGAGAACTTCTTCACGTTCAGTCCGTTGGGCAGCACTCCATCAGGCTTCCGTTTGAGAAGATGCTCGCTCTCAAAGGCCGTGATGTGTGACACAGTCGTGAAGACATCAGCTGTGTGTGCGGCAGCTCGCTCAATGCAGTAGCGGTGATAGATTCCTCGTTTACCAGCTTCCGCATCCACATCGAAGTACTGGAGGTTATTGTAGAAGTCCACAGACCCGGCGCATAGATACCGACCGAGTAAGGTCGCGTGGGTGGTGAATATTGTTGTCAGGTCCATATGCCGCTTCTTGGTCAGCGGCAAGGCGACACCAGCAAGCCATTCGTGAAAATGAGCCACCACTGCACGGCGACGCTCATGCGCGATAAACTGAGTTGACGATCATTAGCATATGCGCACGTGCAGTCAGCGGTCCATGCGCTTGGGTTACGTACCTCTCCCAAGAACCATGCCACCAGGTAGCCGAAAACAATGGCTTCGTTGGTCTCGGTATCGGCAGAAGGGGACGGAATACCAGCTGCATTCCAAAGATCACCTTTCCACTCGTCCAGATATTTGTACCCAGTGCCTGTGTCGATAAGAAGTACGCGCGGAGCACCCTCAATCAGCCAGCGACCGTAGACAATCTCGATCCCGCGTTCCTTCATGGACTGGATGGTCTCGATCATGCGAGGATTCGACGGGGTCAACTCCTCGACTTCCACAGCTGCCGAAGCACGATTGAGAGGACCGATCAGGGTGTAGCGGTCGCCATACTCGGCGGTGGTCACGGGAGCTTTAGACTTGAGCACCGAGTAGATACCTCCCACCCGGTTGGCCACTTCTGTCGCTACCTCGAATAGAATGTGATTGCGAACATCGCGCTTTATGGGCTCTTGGCCATTATCCTCACTGGCCATGCTTGCTTTGAGAGCGCTCAGAGGAACTGTAGCGCTGGAAGGGTTATGAATAGCTTAACGGAAGAAGAGAAAGCAAGGAAGAATAGAGGGAGAAAGACGGATCTGTAGGAGAGGTAGGAGAACGTAGGAGAAGGTAAGAGTAATTCTTTAACTGGCGCAGAACACGAGGGACAAGCGCATCCGGGGGGGCAGCAAGCTCAGCAAAGCTCGAGGAAGAGGAGAAAAGTTGAGGTGACGTGCGGGGGAAGAACAGGCAACGGGTGGCGGGGGAAGAGACTAAGGGAAAGCGAAGGGAATATCAATCAAGCAGGGAGCAAGTGGTTGGACCGCAAGGAGGGGGTTCCGATTCTTTTCATTTCACTCCCTTTCCTCCAACAGGTTCAATTCACGCTACGAGACAGCATCCTTCGCGCAATGGCCCGACCAGGGTGCCGGGAAAAGCTCACCGAAGGGCCCCCGTGCTATAGCCAAGGTTTGGTGTTGCACGGACGCATCCCCGGTTCTGGCTTTGATGGACCACTGAAGGAGGGAACCTCCCGGCAAATGACAACCCCGGTTGGTCTGTCGATTGCAGAATCATCCGACCAGATGATGATGGGTTGCAACGTTCCAGCTGGGAAGCTCGGACTTGCACGACCCTGCTATCTGCGCCCATCGCGCCTACAGCTTTGCTGGAAGAGAGGGAGGGGGGGAAAGGGAAGTTTTACATTGTTGGGAGCTAGTCGAGCCGCCTCCCTACAGGGGGTTCAGACACCCGGTCGGCTTGTTGGTGGCACAATGCGAAATGAAAATTTTCCCCTCAGTCAGGAACCCGTGAAGAAATTTTTTTTTCTACTTCCCATTGGAAAGAAATCAATTGCGACCGGAAAAGGAACGAACTCTTCCCTGATGAGAACCATATATTCACCCTCGAGACACGTACCAGATTTCGTCTCCGCTTGGACCAATTCGGGGCAAATCTGGGGAAAGCTGTCGTCCCGTGACGTCACCAGTCTCATGTGACGCCCGGCCTGGCTGCCTGGGGCAGCCGATAATCCCCCGGGCCTCCTCAACGTATCACTTCGCTTGCCTGCAGCCACCAGCTGCACCGTAACGACAATCATGGGCGGGGAGATCGCAAGATTATCATAGTGATGCTGATGGCAGGGTTCTCCGCGGGAGACCACTTCATACTGGCTTCGTATTCGCTGCAATGGCTTTCACAAAGATTGTATGCCAATGCAACCAGCGATACTCTCAACCGTATGTCTCTACCTCGTTGAGCAATGTCTAAATATGGTCTGGTCTGCGCTTTGTCCTCGAGAAAGCTTCCCGACAACGGTATGTCCCGAAGGGCGATATCGGTGTTCCCCTGGTCCATGAAAAGTATTTGCTGCAATGGATAGCTATCTGTGTGTATATCAGTTCATGCGTCCAAACTTTGTTGCTGCGGCAAATAGTGTTCAGCTCTGCCACATCTGCAAGATGATAGCTACCCCGCGCGGATGCGCTTCCCTATATAGGTTTACGATCCGCATCCAGATCTGCATTCTTCGCCAGTGAGCTTCAGAGCAGCCTACATACCATGAACGGCGCACTGACGCCTTTATATAGCTCAGTGGCGAGTATCCGTGCTTTGCTTGCCTTGTATGCAAGCTAAGGCCATACGTGATCATCAAGAGATGGTGAGACATTGGCACACTGGCAATGTCATAGTTGAGCCAGATATTGACTCCGGTGAGTTCGAGTCGTATGTAGCCACTTTGCACGTGGTATGCAGCAGCCATAGATGGTACCTTGGTACTTCTTCGTATCGGTGAGGCGTAGAACATGGTCCCTGGATTTCGACTCAGTAACCTCAGACCCGGAATAATCACAACAGCCGGCCGTTAGCGCAGGGCAGGATGCTATATTCTAGTATCCCACCACGTGGGAGGCATTGAACAACACGGCCAGCCCCTGTCGCTTATTCTCACTTCATCAACAATCGGATAGGGATTTGTTGGTTTCTAGTATTTAACCAATAAATAATTGAAGTCACAATGGCATCCTGTTGTCTAAAGAATCCTAATGGGTAGGCACACCCGACAGACCATCTATCCGCTGATACTCCATCTCAATCACGACCTACTGTCATACAATGACACTCAGATCTTATTCAACAAGATGTATAGTCAATGAGGTTTTCGTAGCATATCCTTAAACTGAGTAATACCATTGAAGAAAGAAAAGTACCTCCCTGCCCAAACCGGCATCCATACATACATACACCACCGCACCAACCCTCCCGCCGCCAACTGAACCAAGGCAGCCAAGGCACACGACATCACAACCACAACCACAACCACAACCCCATCACAAGTACCAAGAATTACCTCTGAAACATAATATCACCTTAATTAAAACATGGCATACACCTCAATTCTCCAACCCTTACTTGATCATAGTAGATGGTACCTGTCCTTCCCAACCCATCGATGAGATCATAAGTGGGCCCGTTCCCGGCACCGATGACTTCACGATGGTGTCAACGCCAACAATCTGGGCCCCGAATCGATGAACACATCACCTTGACTTTTTGGATATAAGTAGGTTGCAGTAACTGTCAGTTACTGTCTCCTATTCATCAGACTCAGATTCAGAACAAACAAACCTTATCTCCATCTCTACTTACTATCCCACCAACACATATATATACACAAGGTATGTATGCTATATAACTACATACGCCACTGCATGAGTTTACTTCTTAGCCGATACTAATGGTTACCCTGCAGCCATCAAAATGCCCCGCGGAGCCGAATACGACAACGGAGTTATCCAGTCCGACAACGCCATTGAGGCCGGCGAGACGAAGGTTCACGGAACGAACCCTGCCGTATGCAAATTTCCCCTTCTCAGCTTTTCACCAGAATGCACATATGCTAATAAATCTGCTACAGAACGACCACCTCAACCGCGTCCAGCGCACCGCTCCTCTCCCCGAGGCCGCCCAGAGCAGCGGCGGCGAGTACAGCATCGGCGGCAGCTCAGGTCCGAACAAGACCGGTAGCGGAAAGGGCGGACACGAGCCCAAGACATTGGGCGATAAGAAGGGATTGGGGGCTCACCAGGCATAAGCTATAAAAAGCATTTGGAGTTCGGTGATTGATGCATGAATATCATGATTTAGGTACCGCTTTGGGTGGATATGTATTAACAGTCTATTATACTATTCCTTTCACTAGTTATTAGTGAAGGTGATGATGATGACCTCCGGGTTGAGGTCGAATGAATGAATTAAATAAATGAACTAAATTTGTTTAAAATGTTTCAATGTCAGTGTAGTGGGAAATGTTCCTATTAGAGTCTATATAAATATGGTCACGGTCTTCATATGTGTGCCAGGTAATGTGAAGAAAAACATGGATGTGAAATGGATAAAGTCTGTACAGCCCTGTACCATGAGGTACTGGGATCTTCTGGGGTAAGTTTGTATCATGTACATCTGAGCCATCAAGGCCCAAATATGAATCGCCTCCGCTTAGGATTGTTTCTTTGATGAGCCGTTGGAATCAGGCGACGATTTTCCGGACGAGTCGGTGGCATCCTTGGATTCTGTGGCGATCTTCTTCTGCTTCACTAGTTCGACGAGACGCTGGCCCAGATCGCCGAAGCCGTCGATCTTGCCGAGCTTCGTCTGCAGATATTCTGCGTCGCGTTTCAGTCTGGTCGTATAATTAGCTTACGTTGAGTCAACCATGCGATAGTACACATACCGTTCTTTGCCAGTCTCCGAAGTCACGGTGACCTCTTCGAATGCCTTTGTCCACTGCTCTCGGTAGCTCTTGAACACAGGATCCATGATCATCATGACCGACATATCGGGGAGGTGCTTGCTCAGCACCCGATGCAGCGTGCCGGTTTCCTTCGCCAGCGTTTCCATGTACGGGCTCACACCACTGCCCCCTGCGGGGGTGTTCCAGTCAATCTTTTTCATGGCATTGACGTGAATGGCAGATCGAGATCCCATGATATCCACGAGTTTCTCGTGGATTCCGGACTGATGTTCCTGATACAGCCGCTTCACCTTGTCGAATTCGCCCATCAGCGGGCTGGAAGGCGCGTGGCGGCGGACGAACTCTCGGATATAGGGAACCAAGGCAATGATGAAGCTTAGTGCTTGAGATGACAGAGCCAAGTGCTTCGTGGTAATGTTCTTGAGACCTGCGCTTCTCGTCGCCCCAGCACCCAGAATCAACTGAGAAGATCGGGAGTTAAACAGCTTCAATGACTCCAACAAGCCAGGCGCAATGTCTTGCATCATGCTGGGTATATTCGCCATGAGATATTGATATTCCTCGATGCTTTTCATCATCGCAACAGCAGACTCGGACAGAATGTACTTCTGCTCGTCAATCACGGCACTGCGCGTCTTCTCTTTTCCGGACCCGTTGACAGCGGCTGTGCTGGCCGGAGACGGTTGTCGGCGTTCGTTCTCGGGCAGCCAAATCTTGGATGCGTCGACCCACACATCAATATCTCTAGTACTGGCGCCGAGGATACGATCGAGAATAGCATTGTCGGCTTCTCCAAAGTCCCTTGCATCCCATCGATCCGCATCCATTACCTCGACCACACGGCGTCGCTGTCCGTCTCCAAAGCGATTGATGTAGTCTTTAATTTGGTTGCCTACAACAGTCTTCAAGGCGGTACCGCTACGCCCAGAGATGGCCTCACACTCATCAGCGAAGAGCCGGTTGAGAGTGAAGTACTTGAGGAATTCATCCTTTGGTAGCTGAGATGTTTGTTCGGATCGAACCTTCAGCACCTTGGTAACCTGTGATTGCGCAATATCAACGGCTTGGCCAAGAAGGCTGGACATATCCAAGACCTGCAGAATCTCATCCTGTGCCACAACGGCTACAGGGCCCGGTGTTGCAGGTTTGCCTGGGCCTTGAGGATTTGGGCTTGGTGGCCCAGACCTCACACCCACTGCGGCCGGATTCTCCAACCCACTGGCAATATCAAGAAGAACCTTGACTTGAACACTAAGTCTCCGCAGCGACTCACTGATACCAGTGTATACGCGAGCGAGCATGTTGTATGAGTCTTGGGCATCCAAAGCCCGGAGGTTACGCGCGAGGATGGATGACTTTTCCTGCTGGCTGAGCTGCTGGGACTTCTGCGTGGACACAGAAACCACTGACTCGTTATCGTCATCACTCGAGCTGGGCATGTGTTTACGGATCAAGCTCTTCATCTCTCGCAGAACCGCGGTCTTGAAAGCGGTCGCTGCAGGTGTCGTGTGACGCACGCGAGCAAGGCCTGTGAGATGCAGGTGCAACCGGGACCGTAACTGGTCATCAAAGGCCATATATGCTGGGGCTTGTGTAGCCCCTGTGCGCTGTCCTCCCCGCTGCCGCTGGAACGCAGAGCCCCATCGTTGTAATGTTGTATCCAAAGGCACGTTTTCGACCTGCTGCCTCAGATCGCCCAGCAGGTCGCTCAAGAAACGGCTCTCATATCCTGTGCCAATGCGGTACCTCAGATGCGCCAGGTCGTCAGATGCGCCTTCTAGGGCCTTGAGCTTGCGCAAATCGATGGCTTTCCTCGGTTGCTCTTGTTTCTCGTTGCCGTCGGGAGAGCCAGGGGTATACTCTCCGGCCATCAGTCTTTCCACCTCTTCTAAGCCATCCGCAGCCTCTTCAATTTTGCCGGTCTCGACTAGTTCCTCGCATCGGGAGACCGACTGGACGACGTCACGGAGTTGCGATACTGCATCCGCAAGCATACGCACATTCTCTCTCCTCCGTCGCAAATTCACAATCTTGAGTCCACCCAGTGCCATCTCACGGTCAATCTTCTGTAAATCCTTCCGTAGAACCTGGATCCGTTTCACCGAGTCGGCAGCTTCTGCATGTAGCTCCCGCAGTGAGCCCAGCGCGGTGAAGAAAGACTTAGATGCAGTCGAAATAGAAGAGATAAGGTGGATTTCCACAGTGTCCATGTACCACGAAAGCTTCTCTTGTAGAATGGCATTCGTAGCCAGAGCCTTTCTACCCGTGGGTGCTGGTTCCAGGGCAGCTCCATTCTCGAATTTATCCTTTGACGGTGTAACAATCTCAGATTTTTCCGAAACGACATCGAAGGTGCGTGGGTTCTCTAAGTGGAAGTCGTCCTCGAAGTAGACCGTCGGGATGGTAGATAGAGGTGTGATAGCATGACCGCGACCGCGACCGGCAAACGACCGCTTCCGACCCCGGGTATCGTACGGAGAAGTTGCTCGTGAACTGGTTGAGATAGCCGACGGTCGTCTCTCTCTGGACCTTGGGGCTAACGAGTCTGATTCCTCTGCCTTGGGTGAAGACTTGTCGCTACCCCGCGCTAGCTGCGACTCCTGATCTCCGGCGCTTTCCTTTGCTTGTTGGAATACATCGTACAACGACCCAACTTGCGACAAGTAGGCTTCGAACGCTTTAGGATCCACATGCGGAATGTTGGTCAATGTGACAGGGGGGATATCGCGGGTAGTTGGCGGCTTGTATCCGGCGGAGGGGACAGCGGTATGGGGAACTAGGCCGGTGCGGACAATGGGAGGTTGCAGGAGAGTAGAGATGGCTGCGTCGAATTAGCATGCGATTTTCTCATAAATCGTCTGACACTCTCATAAACCGTACCATTTTGCCCGGACTCAGCTATCGATCCATGACGGTGGGAAGGATCCAAAATGCCCCCGATACTGGCAATCGAGCTGGCAGTCGACCCTCTCCTGAGAGGATACCTCTGAGTGGACGCACGCGGCGATTCGATCTGATTTAGTGATAATTGAGACAAAGAGGGAGTCGATGCGCCTGAAGCCAAGCTGTCAATGGACTTCCGGGGGGTCGCGGAGGACATATCGTCGATAGCGGATTAGCGACTCCCACAGCCACCGTGCTAGTAGTAGTACTCGGGAGAACGAACGACGGCTAACTACACATGACAAGGAGAAAAGCTGCAAATCAAAAAAGAAGGGGCATTAATGGCGTCCAGCCAATGATCCCACACTGCCAGGGTATGAAGCCTGTGGTCTCAAGAGGAGAGAATGAAAGCCACGCCGACAAAGCCCGCTTGCAACGTCACCCTCGACCCTCTGATACGGGGGTTGGTTCATGACAGCTTCCCCCGATCCGGTATGGCGCCAGGCCCCGAGACCGTGTCCACTAGTCTGCTTTGGGTGCTCTTCGGGAAGTTAGTATCTCCGGCTGCCGGCACTAAGTCTCGTGCTTGTAGACGCACTCCAGAATACTGCCACACTGCACCGCCCATTTTTGAACAGAATCTCAGATGATTTTATACAAATCTGTATGTTTCCTAAATCCGCTAAATCCGAGGGTTTGAGACGAGGTTCACTAGTTTCTGCCGCGTTTGGCGGTCTGAGGAGCGGTGGGTGTTTGTTGTCTGCCTCAGGCATGAATAAAACCACTTAACGCGTGAATTAGACGCGACGCGTTCGGCTCGTGTCCCGCCGCAAAAGTTATTTGCAGTTCCTTTTTTGCCCTGGCAATGAGACGGTCCCGAAATCAACACATCTCACAATCCCATCCCCGCAGTCCGCTCTAGTGTCTTCACCATGGACAGACGCACCCCTTATACCCTGAGTGTCCTCGCTCCTAGCGTCGATGGTGTGGAAGACTCTCGCTCTCAGATTCGAGCAAAATTAAAGGAGTTTGTGCTCGAATTCCAGCTTGACAATGCATTCATCTACCGGTATGTTTGGCCCTAGCCCGGATACAGTGAAGATTCAAGTCAACAAAAGCTAAGGTGGATGACAGTGACCAACTTCGCCAGAATGTTCTGGTCAAGCAATACTATTGCGATATTGACATCGCTCATTTGATCTCATACAACGAAGAGCTAGCACACAAGCTCACCACAGAGCCTGCCGACCTCATCCCCCTCGTGAGTTTCCATCTCCTAAATCTTGAACCTCATCCTGACCAACAATGCCACTTAGTTTGAATCAGCACTCCAAGATTGTACTCGCCGCATTGTATACCCCTCCCAGAGAGACATCCAACTACCCACCCATCAGCTTCTACTCCACTCCTCAGCTACACACATTTCGATCCGTGACCTCAATGCCACCAACATCTCGCACCTTGTTCGTATCCCAGGTATCGTTATTGGCGCTTCGACGATATCATCCAAGGCAACAGTGATGCACGTTCGGTGTAAGAACTGTGGCCACCACGAAGATCTTCAGGTCGATGGTGGTTTCTCGGGTGTTCAACTTCCCAGAAGATGTGGCCGACAGCAGCAGCCCGGCGACCCTCAGTCGGAACCCTGCCCACTAGACCCATACGTTGTGTCGCACGAAAAATGTCAATTCGTCGACCAACAGGTTCTCAAGCTCCAGGAAGCGCCTGATCAAGTGCCTGTTGGTGAGCTTCCCAGACACGTCCTTATCTCAGCCGACCGTTACCTGGCCAACCGCGTTGTGCCTGGTTCTCGCTGCACAGTGATGGGTATCTTCTCTATCTACCAATCGTCCAAGGGTGGCAAGAAGGATGGCGCTGTGGCTATCCGCAACCCGTACTTGCGGGCGGTGGGCATTAGCAGTGATCTGGATCATACCGCCAAGGGTAGCGCCATTTTCTCTGAAGAGGAAGAGCAGGAGTTCTTGGAACTGAGCCGGCGTCCTGACTTGTATGAGGCTCTTGCTAAAAGCATTGCCCCGTCCATCTATGGCAACCTGGATATCAAGAAGGCCATTGTCTGCCTGCTCATGGGTGGTTCTAAGAAGCTTCTTCCCGACGGAATGAAGCTTCGTGGTGATATCAACGTACTTCTCCTTGGTGACCCTGGTACAGCCAAGTCACAGTTGCTCAAGTTCACTGAGAAGGTCTCCCCAATTGCGATTTATACATCTGGTAAGGGTTCTTCGGCAGCAGGTTTGACGGCCTCGGTCCAGCGCGACCACGCTACTCGCGAATTCTACCTGGAAGGAGGTGCCATGGTGCTCGCAGACGGTGGTGTTGTTTGTATCGATGAGTTCGACAAGATGAGAGACGAGGACCGTGTTGCTATTCACGAAGCCATGGAGCAGCAGACCATTTCCATCGCCAAGGCCGGAATTACTACTATTCTCAACTCTAGGACGTCTGTTTTGGCCGCAGCAAACCCTATCTTCGGTCGCTATGATGACCTCAAAACTCCTGGTGAAAACATCGACTTCCAGACGACAATCTTGTCTCGTTTCGATATGATCTTCATTGTCCGCGATGATCACGAGCGCAGCCGTGATGAAAGCATAGCCAGACACGTCATGGGTGTGCATATGGGCGGTCGGGGTGTTGAAGAGCAAGTTGAAGCTGAAATCCCGTTGGATAAGATGAAGCGCTACATCAGCTATTGTCGCACGTAAGTTGTCCCTCGCCTCGTATACCCGACATATGAGTCAGAAACGCTAATACATCATTACAGTCGCTGTGCGCCCCGTCTCTCGGATGAAGCTGCTGAGAAGCTGTCATCGCACTTTGTCACCATCAGAAAGCAAGTCCACCGTGCTGAACTTGATGCCAACACCCGCTCTTCCATTCCCATCACCGTTCGTCAGCTTGAAGCTATCGTCCGTATTACCGAATCGTTGGCCAAGTTGAGTCTGTCGCCTGTCGCCACTGAGGCCCATGTCGACGAAGCCATTCGTCTCTTCTTGGCCTCTACCATGGACGCTGTCACTCAAGGTGAGGGCCAGGGTAGCAAGGAGATGATGGAGGAAGCAAGCAAGATCGAAGACGAACTGAAGCGCCGCCTACCTATTGGATGGAGCACCAGTCTGGCGACGCTGAGACGCGAATTTGTCGACGGAAGGGGCTACACGGAACAAGCACTCAACCGGGCATTGGTGGTTATGCAACGACGAGAAACCGTTCAAATCCGGTCCGGTGGCTCACAAGTATACCGACACGGTGTCTAGTACTTCTTCATGTCTGCTTTTGATTTCACACCATGCGATATTGTCACGAATGATCTTCCGATGTTAGTCTGCTGGGATGACTACGTATCAATTTGGGCTCGGGATTAACGGGGATGACTCGGTGTATGGCGTACTGCTTTGTTCACGGTGAACGACTGATCCGTTATTAGATGAGCGAATTTAACGAGAGACAATATAACAACAATAATATGGAATACCAACCAGTCTAGACGGGGAGGAAAGTCTTTGTATCAGTCCAACGCAATATATATGCTCAGAATCAATCGAGGAAAGTGCAGTCCACTCTGACTGCATTAGTTTGACCGATCTTGTCAGCCAGGTTGTTCATCATAAAATTTGTGATTGTCCTGGACAACAAATCAGCTCTCTTATGGCCCCGAACACACTGGTGTCCCGGAACCCAATGAAGCTCGACCTTGACTCCCATCGAGCAGAGCCGGTGAGAAAGAGCGTCAACAAGACGCACTAGACGGCCAGCGAGTGGGCTCAACTTCTTTGTTACAGGCCGCAGCATTTCCATGGCCGCTTGGCAGTCCGTGAAGACCTGGACCACATGACCTGACACTTGAAGCCGCTCCAGGTGGCGGACTGCTGCTCTCAGACCGGCCCCGATAGCAAACAACTCAGCCAACTGGCTGAGCCGGATCTCGTCGAGGCAGTACAGCTCGTCCGCGTCTTGTCCGCTGTGCCCGTGGATAACTGCGACTCCAGATGGCGCTGCCTCGTTGGCGGCTGTCGATCCGTCCACCCAGAAGACGTGATGGTCATCTGGGGACGTCTCTGTCACCTCCTTGGCATAGTTCAAAGCTTCTTGACGAGGCTTGATCAGCAACACTCTGTCAAATCTATCATCCTCAATCCGGATGGTAGTTGGAGGCTGCTGCTGCTGCTGCTGCTGCTTCTGTTTCTTTTTCTGACTCCCAGAGTGCTGCTTCCTACCCCCACGCTTGTTCGACTTCCTCGTCCCGACGGACTCGGTCGTTCCAGAAACGGAAGCGGCACCCTGATGCGGGTCTGCATGGCTTTGGGAATCTTCACTAGTGATAGTTCTGCTGCTATCACTATTACTAGTACTGCTGCCAGCACTTCTGCGCTTATGCCTCTCGAAGACAGGGGCAGTACTACCCTGGTCTTCATTGGTTTGGGAATCTCGATTTCTCTGGCTGACGCCGTCAACCCGGTCAAGGCAAGGATCGATCACTTGAGAACCTCGAGTGTCGTCCTTAGCCCTCTGTGCTTTGCCTTTCCTGGAAGGAAGCGTGCGCCCTCTGGATCCCATGTTTCGAGGAGCTCTGTGACCGCAACTCATGGTAGTCACCGCTGTGGGATTTTCAAAGTTCATGACTATATCCCTCTGGAAATAAATATAGTGAAATGCTTTCTGGGGAAAATACTTCGACCTGTTATGTGAAATATGATACGCAGCGTCTTACGGGCTTGAAAAGAAAGGTGAGATCGTCTTTGTTCGAAGAACTTATGATGGCTATTGTGGGAGTGGGAGAGTGGATGATCTCGAGACAAGAGCGGATGGGTGCCTCTGCTCTGGAAGAGTCCTCGTCTGAGTCAACTCGACAATGTTTACGTCGTTAAAGGACAACATGTATGCAGCATTATGACGAGATGTCCAGTCAGCCATCGAACACTACAGGATGCCGAGATATCTGGTCTGGGGGGCTTATATGACAGACTGGAGAGCCAACGGTACGAAGTATGGGTCCGAAAAGCATTTAGTTCGAAGTCTGATGGACCTCGATTCTTACTGCAGCTCTGCGCCCACAGCGTGAACCTATAACGTCAAACTACTGCATTGAATTACTTCTTTACAATCAGACTCCCACCGGATAAGCCTTGAAATTTGTCATTTGAGGCGAATGCATTGCCGCGGAAAAACAAAGCCTGGCTGTCTTTACTCCATGAGATTTCTGGACCAGCTATGACGCTTTCAGGGCTTTTGCGTGCTCGGTAGACACCCGGGATGTTAAGGAGAGAACAAAGCATGGTAGCAATGCCAAGGCATCTCGAGTCGTATCAGTAAGCGCAGTTTGTGAGTTGATACAACGTTGGAATGGCTTGGGATTTCGTCAGATGGGCTCAAAGCCTACCACTTTGGTCTCTAATGATAATGTCCGTTGCAATCGTATGGCGGGGGTCAATCATCTATATAGATGCAGTAAGCGAAAGCTTACTTGTAGTCATGTTGACGAAAACTTTTTCTATCTACCTTAGTCTCCACTATATATAGTAGCATTGGTTTGGTCTAGTACCAGTCTCGCGAGTTTGTTTATGGAAAAATTTATATGTCACTATCTCAGGACGACTGCTGCATCTAGTAGCACTGCGCGATGTCTACTTCACTACTAGTAAGTCGAGGCTCACTATCACCTGACCGCGTGGACTGAATGGCGCCTAGTTTCTGCCTGAACACTATCTTCCTCTCCTACTTCAGGGCTCCTTATGGTTACTACCACATACTTACTAGCTGGTAGTACTCATTTTCGGCCACAATGCTTCAATTGTACAAGGTATAACAGAGCATCTTATACCATGCGCATAAGTCTGTCCCAAAATATATTCTTGCTAGCATCTGCTTCATGGACAAGCGGCGTGCAAATGGCAGTAAGCTTCAGACACAACTCTGCTAATTTATTGAAGAATTCTATAGCATTACATTACCATGCTGATCAATGAACTGCCTGCTGGCATATCACTCGGCATGTGTCAGGCTCATGAACACGTTCTTTACATGTTAGCAGAAGACCCAGACTTTCTTTTCATAACGAACTGCTTGAAAGTTGACAACTCCACACCAGGTGTCCGAATGAGGGACAGCCAGCGCCGTCTAATGGGGTCAACCTTCGTCTCCACATCGACCTATAGTCAAAATACGATGATACCGCAATTTACATGGTCCTGGTCCCGCCGGAGCCACTGAACCATGGGTACGATGGGCTGAAAAGGCCCGCAGTCTCGACTGTCTGTTTTGCTGCCAGGGCATGCATTTTGATGACATTTGAATAGATGCGTGGGGCTGATTTGTCCTCCTGATGCGATAGGCCGTTAGTTTTGTTAGGCAAAAGGTAATATAGATGAGTTTCTGGGGTGGTGTTAGCTAGGTAACTGGGGTGAAAGCTCAGGAACTGGAGATTTCTGGTTCAGACCGCGCCGAACGGGACCAAACGGAAGAGTAACCAGCCAGAGGATTTGAGAGGTGAGGTATGAGGCTTCGTGGCAACCGTGGCCGGGGTGATAAGTATGATCGGTCTGGTCTACATTCCAAGGGTCCACAGTACAAGTATCTGACAGCATTCCTGAAGATCAAACGACCAGCTGGCAAGTGGGGTTTGAAAATTACTTGACGCGCCGCGCGTGGTTAGAGAGATACTATTATCGCCCTGCCATGTCAAAAGGTTAACGAAGATTAACTCTTTTTTGTCCGTGGCAGGGGGAAGCAGAGGTATGTCATTGATTGCTTGCTCCATGGCCCTTGAGATGGGCATTGTCGAAAAGACCTAGTATTTGAAGTTTTTGTGTTTGAAGAATGTATGGATTGAGCGTGTCATTGTCGACAGGTAACTGGTCAGTCCATGCACCTTCATTGTACCTTCGATACTGCTGATTCCGGCGCGTACCGTACATCAGCCCCTGACTCCGGCCCAGACTTTTAAGATCGTGTGCACATCTGTATAATTATAGCTGCGTACAGAGGAGGGATGAAGAAATTGCAGCGAGTAAGGACAGAAGTTCACCTCACATCCTAGAATCGGTGTTTCAGGTCATGCAGCAGCGACAGAGACATGGGTCAGCAAGCGCCGGGGGGGCAAATGGAACATTATATATGAAGAACCAAATCAAAAGCGCTTCGAGCTGAAGAGAAAAAGATAATTATATCATGATCGGTCGAATCTAGACTAGATCGACGCCTCTTGTATGCTGCTGTTACACCATGTACGGAGTTTTTATTGTCTATCTAGTGGCCAACCGACAATCAATAGACGGGCTGCCGTAGCGCCGACTTCAAGGGAGGTGCAGGTGGTGAAACATGGGGTGGGGATACGTGGTCGTGATAGACACGCGCGAAGGAGCGACGGGCGCGCCATGCGTCGGAGAGGGGACAGTTTGGTTGGTGAAGAGGCACGAAGGGGAAGAAAGGGTCGTGATGGCAACGCGTTGAAGGGGGGAGGGATGGATGATGGACGGGTGGGGAGAGGAAGAGGGAGAGGGAGAGGGAGAGCAGCTATGGAGACAAACGTTCAATAAGGTTTCAATGGAGTTGGTATAATAGAAGTAGATTCTAAACTAGTGAAGAGGCAAAAGGCGATAGGCATTCTAGATGATCGACTATACCCGATGATATCATGAGTAGTGAAGAAGAGAGAAAACATTAATCGCGAAATGCATCTTGCATGCCGCATTGGGGGAAGAAGTAAAAAGTAAGCCCTGAATCGCGCGACGCGACGTGATGGAAGAAGGGCCGAAATGGGATGGGGGAGTTGCAACCAATAATCGATCAATAATGGGTCTCGAAGCCTTGCATGGGACCATCGGTAGTTTAAGTCAGAGTGGATTTAGCCTCCGTCTGGAATTCTCGGGGTTCCCTGGCCATCGATCCCATCCCATCCCATCTGGCGGGCGACACGAACTTGACGCGCTTCTTCGCCTTGACTCCATTCCTGCTTCTGACTTACTTATACAACTCCACCTCCACGTCCACGTCCACGTCCACGCTCGCGCTTCTCTCCCCCTCCCCTCGTCGACTTGAATTCTTTTTCTCTTTTTTAAACATTTTTCCAAACCCTTACCCTTGAAACCCGTTCATCTGCATGTTTCGACTGTCGTGCAGAAACCTTGGAATGAGCCTTGAATGACCAGCAGCCCACCGTTTTCCCTGCCCTCTCCATTTTTAGGCATTCTCGGTTGACGCTGCCTACCACCACCTGCCTTTTAACAACCCTTGCCTCACTCCAACTCTTATATCTCCTCGCCTGGTCCCCTCGTTCTCTAGTCCTGTCACTTCCCATTGTCATTGTCTTTGTCCCCTTCTAGTCTGGACTTCAAGAAGACTAGATCGTGGATTAACCTTAACTGCTTTCTCCATCCTATCCATTCACTCAGCCTCTCCCGCTCCAATCCTGACCGTCGATCTTCTTCCCTCTCCAGACCGCCAATCAATCAACCAACCCCACTCACTTCACTCCCTCGACGCGACTAACAACAACTCATCTCCAACAGGGCCTCGTTGCCTGTCTATAAATATCTATACATCCCTTTCGGTGCACTCAATCCGCTGTTCATTGTCTATTTCGGCCTGTATACAGCATGGCCGCTCTCACCATGACCCCTACCACCATGCGGCAGCCATTTGCCAGCTTGGACGCGCCACGCATGCGCTCCTTGCTCAAGACTAGAATGAACATGAAGAACAAACAAGATGGTACGAACATGTTAAACTTCGCCCCATGCTCATCGCGCGCGTATAGCTAACATACTTTTCTATAGGTGCCATACTTTCGGGAAAGAGACAGCCCCTGTCGGACGTGGACTCGGAGAATATCGACCCAACCACTTTCAAACAATCCGCCAAACGCAAGCGTGGTGCCGACGATGATGACCTGGAACCTGCCAAGGAACCCTGCAAGCCATTCAAAACCTCTCGCATGGTTCTGACCACCGTGAAATCGACCACCGTCACTCCTCGCAAGCCAACCACACCCACCAAACCAACCGTGTCTACCCCCAAGTCCGCTCCCAACCTTCGGCCGGCTGGACGTTCACCACCGCCCAAGTCTTGCAAGCCATTCTCTCGTCGTTCTACTATTGCCAAAAGCCGTCCCGAGTCCGTTAACCGGAAATCCGTCCACCGCCCATTCTCTCTTGCAACCGCTCTGTCTGGCGCAAAGGCAAAGAGTCAGCCCAGCCCCAAAGCTCCTGCGTCCTGGTCATTCGATATCCATGTGGACACCGAACAGGAAGAGATGACCAACCTCATGCAACACTCCACCTGTGTCCTGGACATCAGCGACCAGGAAGGGAAAGTTGAGACCTCTGGTCGAGGCAAGGAGAATGTACCTCCGGCGGAACTTGGACTTGACCTTCCCCGTTCTCGTCAGCAGGAGTCCCCTGCGGCTGCGGCGCGCAAGTCTGTCATGCTGGAGGAGTCTCGTGAGCCGTTGGGTGACCTCAATGCCGCCGACTACTACGGTGATGACTGCCATGCCTTCTCCTATGCCGTTGTCTATGATGACGAGGCCGAGGAGAACGCGAAGAAGGCCCCATCAGTACCACGCTCCACCCCCAACTCCGCCCGCAGCAAGCTTTCCAACGTCTCCTCCGTCTCTTCCTTGCTTGAAGTAACCGCCCCTGCCAAGCCTACCACTGATGCTGAGGTTGAAGCTGAGGCGGCAATCGAGATCTGGGAGAGCGAGAGTGCTGCGGAAGAAGCCGCCGATGCCAACTGAACTTGATAGCTCGCATCGGACTATCACCTATCATTCATACCAACAAGAGTTATATTATATGGCGTTCGGATTACTCCAGGGTTGTACAGCATCGTTTTTGGATACCCTACCTATACAGTCTT